ATCCTCCATGGCTTTTAATGAGGGCCTGTTGTATAGAAGTCACTTCTTCCTTGTTTCCAGGATTCTCTCCCTGTGCCTGGACAGTATGGCTATGTGCACAGTCATGGATTTGTGTTCCCTACTTGGACTAAAGACTATTTAAATGCCTTTTTCTTTCCTATGAATTGAATTATATATATACAAGTTGGTATGCTGCACATGGCACCACAGGTCTCTGAAGCTCTGTTCAATTTTATTTTTTTTCTGTATTTCAGACTGGATAAACCAATTGGCCTATTATATGTTTGTTGATTGCTTTTTTTCTGTTCCAATCTGTTAATCACCTGTTAATTTTTCACTTGTTACTGTGCAAATTCAGAATTTAAAAATGGTTTTTGCATAATATCTTTTTATTTTCTATGTTGCTAGACCTCATCTTTTTATCTTCTCAGCTTTTTTCTTTAGTTCTTTAGGCATATTTAAAATAGCTAAAGTTTTTGTCTGGAAGTCCAATGTCTGGAATGCCTTAGCAGCATCTACTGATTTATTTTTCCCTGTGTATTTTGTTTCTTCCTATGACTCATACTGTGGGGTGTGTGTGTGTGTGTGTGTGTGTGACTCTGTAAAACTGGACTTTGTAAAGAACAAAGCTCTGCCAATCATCTTCACTTACCACCCTAAGGGTCTGCCATACTTGCCAGCTTGTTTGCTTTGTTCTCGTGACTTTCTGAACTACATGAGTAAGGATGACACTCTTTGTAATGTATGACACTGAAGTCTCTACTCAGATAGCTTAGTGACAAGGTAATGACTGGACAGAGGCTTCTGTACCTGAGACGAGCAGTCATCCCGTCAGTGCCGAGGGCTCTGAGGACTGGAACTCTCTCCATGCTCACTCAGGGAGGTGACAGCCCTGCCTTTGGCTTCATTCTCTGTGCAGAATCTCAAGGTCAATTTAATGCCAGCATTTAGCATGCAATTAGGACAATCCCAGCAAGAGTACAACTCCTGGCATGTGTGAAGTTCTACATATGTGCAAACCCATCTAATCCCCCTGTAAAGGCCAGGGCCTTTAAAAACACCTACAGAGGTGTCCTTCCCCAGCTTGCCAAGGTTTTGGTTAGAAACTTACTGTTTGCTCCAAGGGTTACCCACTGCCTCAGCCAGCCCTATAGTAATCACTTATCTCTGAGACTTATCCAGCAAATTTTCCTGAGGAAAAATTTTCACACCAGGCAAGCTCCAATCAAGTAAGGGGAGTCTTGGGAGCGGAATCTTCCAGGGAACCACCAGACAGGTCAAATGACCACTCTCTGGTGAGGAGGCTTTGAAGGAATCTCAACCCCATTTTTCCTCCTCTGGTTTCCAGGCCACTGCTTTTCACCTTCTTTGTGTATTGTCGGTGTTCAAGGATATAGCAGAGATGGAAGGTGGGAAAGAAATAGGGCAAGTTAAAACATTACAAAGCTCAGCGTCCATACCAGATCCAGCCACTTTTCTTGAAGAAATACTGCTCAGATTGCTGAAGCTTTTGTAATTTCCAGAGCTGCGGAAAAAAAAAAAAAAACCATTAATTCTGACATTTTGGGCCAAAATTTTTCTTGCTCAATGGGGGATGGACAGTTTTCAGAGCTCCTTTCTCCACTACTTTCACTGGCCTTAATGAATGCCTCTTTTTCAAATGAACTGAATTAAAAAAAAAAAAAAAAAAAAAAAACACTGTTGACATTTCTGAGCATTCACATAGTTCAAGGTCAAGCGCTCTATAAACAGCAATTATTCTACAAATATGCAACCAAGCTGGACAGAGCATGAATTGTAGACAGTGAACACACTGCAAAGCTTGCCCTAATTTCTCAGGAGGCAGATTCAGTCTTAGGCAATCTTCATGTTGCACACATGTAAGTTGTATTGCTATGAGAAACTAGTAGTCTTTAGCATGGATAGCACAGACAAGCCTCACTCTACCGTGGGAAACCCCCTTACAGTCCTCGGAAATCTCCTAGGAACAGACAGAAATCATCTCCAAAAGCTCCACCTTCTGCCTGGCCACACTGGGCTGTCAGGGCCTCTCTACCTCTGAAGAGCAAGGCACCGTAGAATGGAGCTTCAAAGAGCACATCTTAGGCTGCAAGGCACACACTTTTCCTACCTGAGCGTTAACAGTCCCTTGGCAACAGTCAATCCCTTTCCTGGAAGAGACACCTGCACCTCTTTCAGGTCTAGTACCTGATGACATGTGGGGCACTTCCTGGGTAGGACAAGGAGACCTGAGTGATCTTTATAGGTGATTTTCAAGTGTACAGACTTCGTAAAAATCCTCTCTGAAGGCAAGGCCAGACTCACTGGGTTCGTGGAGAAATGCAACAGAGCCTCATTAGTACCAAACAGGTAAACGAAAATCTCAAACTAAAATCAAAACAATATGGCCATGGTTATGTGAAGAACTTCTAAATGAGATTCTGTAAGACAATGTTTGAGTCTATGAAATGAATTTCCATGTCCATATTTAATTATATCAGATTGCATTAGTGCTGGCCCAGTCAGGAATCCATTTTCATAAATCATCTGAATAAAATGTTATGATTTCTGCTAAGGTGATGTATTGCGTTTACGTTTTTTATAGTAGAAATAAGAATGTCAAATTCAATTCAGGATGGAGAAATCTAACTTTACAATTAGTAATGTTAAAAGTTGTCTTTGAAGCTCCCAAAGATTATGAAATGGCACATATTTTAAGAAAAATTACATGCAGAGCCTATAAACTAACTGCTGTCAAGGACTTTTTTTCCTTTAATACTTAACGTGAAACAATTGAGACGGACATTCAACTAGCTGAGGAGGAAAGGTTCTTGTGAATGCTGGGCACATGGTCAGCTGGCTCGAAGGCAGGGGGCAGAGGACAGTGGTCACACCATGGTGGGCAGGAAAGGGACTGAGGGAGGCACACTCGAGGCCACACCCAGTGACCTGCCCTTCCTTTTTCTGTGGTTTCATCAGTGAATTAACCCACTGATAAGTACAGGGCCCCCACGATCCATTTACCTTCCGAAAGCTCCACCTTTTTGGTACCAGGGATCAAATTCAGGAGTGTAGACTTGCCACTACTTAAGCCACTGAGCTATATCTCCGGCTCCAAAACCTCTGAGTACATGAGAATTCTGGGGCTCACTCCTGATCTAAACTGTAACAGACTCTTGCGCCCTGTACTATGAGTGAGGCTGTCCTGGATTTTGAAACTTACCTCTAACCACGCACACAGGAGCTCACTGATGCGACCTCACTCTGAACAGACTCTTGATTTTGCAGTAGATCCCTTTTCTCCCATTATGACTATTTTGTGAAGTATTTTTCTACCCAGAAAATGGCTGCTCAACAAAAGTACACAGAGGGGTGGGGATGTGCAGCTCCATGTGAGGGGATTTGCCTAGTACGCACTAGGCCCTGGTCCAAGCACCAGGACAGGCAAAAAGAGAAATCGACAGAAAAAAAGGAAATAAAGGGGAGAAGGAAGGGAGGGCTGCCGGCTGGATTTAAGATTTGTTTTGGCAAAGCTTTGGACACAAGCCAAATACACAGCACACAGGCAAGTTTTCTGTAGTCAACAACACTCCTTTATAGTATCAAAAGTTTGAGAACGACGCCAGTGAATCTCACACACCATTTCCATGAATAGCACCCAGCCATGGTTTAAGTTCCAGTCCTCATCAAGCAAGCCCAGGTGTCGCACCCAGGCTTCAAGCAGAGACTGCCCAGAGGCCGGCCACCCAGCCAGCCCACTGCAGCTGTTCACCTGCTCATCACACGTGCAGAGAGAGAGGATGCCTGGAGTACAAGCACCTTTACAAAATTTCAAACAAAGTTAACATTTACAAGTTATCTCAACAAGAATTCCTGAATGTCAGGTTAGCACATTTCACAGCTCCATTTGAAGACACGATGGTGGAAGGTGAAACAGGAAGATGCAACAATACGGTTGCTGCCACTTTAATGGCAAGGTAGCAGTCACTTAGGCCCGAAGCACATTTGTGAAGCTTCATGCCACACTGGTCCCCCGCCAACTTATATACATGGAGGGGCTAGATCAGAACTTCAATTGTTCCAAAGGATGAAAGAAGTGGTCCATTTGGACATAGATCTTCAGTTCCTATTATACTCCAGGCCTTTGAAATGTTAAGGCCGAGCAGATCAAGCTATGAAAGAGACGGAGGAAGTGAACAGTGCGATGCAGTAGGAGCACACGGGAACTCTGTCTGCCCCAGTCCGTGTGGAGTCTGCTTTCCGGGCAGCAGGCGTGCGGCTGAAGATCACACATGTGTCCGTAACTCTGGAGGATTTCTGGCACCACCAGAGCCCAGTGCTACAGTTAGGGCAGCTAATCAAATGCCACCAACCACATTCTGGACATCTGAACATTTTTGAAAATAATCTCTTCCACCAAGCAACCCCTTCTGGCTCTTTCAGTCCTTCCTGCCTTATATAAACTGTATCACTAGCCATTTTTTTTAAAGTAGAAGACTCACTTCACAGCAAGCAGATGAACATCTGGCAGCGAAGTAACAGTGAAATGCCATCCTTTGAAAGGAAGAGCGAATACGTGACTCTCCCATGAAGGGGGTGTCTCCGGAGGGGGAGGTTCACAGGCTGTTCGTGGACTTTTTGTATTTCTGTGAAATCCCAAGGCTGAACATGGCCCTGCTTTCTCTGGATGTTCCCTGTGCTACCTGCACAACAGCGCGCGCCCTAGGGACCAACAAGGGGACAACCGCACACACCAGGTATATGAGCCAAAGGGCACAGCTGGGGCTTAGAGTCTCTCGTAAAAACCATAAAGGCAGCTTCTCGCATGCTTAGGGCACTTCAGTCAGTACGAACTGAATCTGTAAGCCCATCTAACAAGAACAGGGCAGGTCTTATTTTGGCATGAGTTTTCTCTCCCTTATTTTGTAGAAAATACATCTAGAAAGAAAAAGACTCGGGTCTTTAAAAAAATCAAATATTCTTCATGTATATGAAAAAAGTCTTAGCAGGAAATTTAACAATTCAAAATTTAAGTTTTCTCTAATTTTTCAAAAGAGCGTATTTCACGATCAACTTTTTTGCTTTTAATACTTCTCTCCAGAGCCTCTTAATACATTGCAAAACTTGTAAACAAGATTGTACTTTCCAGAGGGCGTGTGTGCTGGGGCCTTGCCAGCTCGGGTGCCCCGCCCAGCTAAGCGAAAGGACCGAGGCCTGAGCCTGCTGAAACACTAAAAACCGACAAGTTTCCACTGGAGAAACCATGGAGAGAAATCTCGCTGGAAAATAATTCTCTGGGGAAAGAGAGAAGTTTCACTGAAGTGTCACGGAAGGTATGCTGTTCACAGGTTAATGTGGGTAGATTATCAAATTAGAGTTCTTCAGGGAACAGCAACTTGCTTTAAATTAGATGTGGGAAGGCTCATCGAACTGAATAGTTTATATACGAGACACACATAAAAAGAAACCACAGAAGACAAAACGTCCTTAATTTTGGGGGAGAATGTATTTGAGGCCTTTCAGCTGTGATGACCAACCACAACGCTTCCGGAGAGTTCTCGTGTCCCCGTCTGCACAGGACAGGATGGATGGAACCCGTCCTGGCCCACAGGACTCTCCTGCCTGCCACACACAGTGCCTGACATGCAGGGAGGTGGCCACAGTGTCAGGCTGGCGCCGCTCCGGAGACTCATCAACTCAGCAGGTCAAAAGTCCGCAGACACTGGGTGGAACAGCAGTAGGCCACAAAACTAACCGCTGTCGTCCTGCAAGGGGAGAGAAAAGAGAGAAGAACATTTGTTACTAGCTCAAGAGTAAGCCCCCGAAGCTGCACTTGGTGGTGTGCGCTGCAGCATCAGCACTGCAGGAGGCCGAGGCAGGAGCGTCAAGCTCGGCCGGGGCAATTTAGTTACTTGGTGAGACCGTGCCTTGAAAAAAATAAAAGGTTCAATGCTAAGGCAGTGGGTACAGAGGTTCGTGCCAAGCCCTGGGTTCCATCACCAGTAACAGAGCACGTGCACGCGCGTACGTGCACGCACACACACACAGTCTCTAAACTAGGCATGGTGATGTACATCTATAATCCCAGAATTCTAAGAGCTCAGGTAGAAGGATCAGAAGTTTCGGTTCAGTTGGTCAGATTAGCAAGGCCCTGTCTTAAAAATTCAAAAGGGTGGCCTGGGGCCTGGTGCCACGTGCTACAATCCTAGCACTCTAGGCAGACAGGCAAGAAGATTGCAAGTTTGGCCCCAGCCTGAACAATCTGGCAACATTTTTTCCCCCCTGTATTTAGGGCAGGGTCTACAGGTCTAAAGGGTCTCTCTATGTAGATCTGACTTGTAGTGATCCTGTTTTCAGCCTCCCAAGCACTGGGATTACAGGTGCACGCCACCATGCCCGGTCTCAATCGCCTCAGCACGCCCCAGGGGTGGGGCCAGCACAGCAGGCCAGGGACTGAAGCCCTGCCTCTGTGCTCTGCCTAAGCAGGTACTTTAGTCTACTGAGCTGCAGGCCCACCCTGGCAATGCTATCTTAAGAGTAAAAAATTTTTTAAAATAATTTTGAGAAACAAATAGCAATGAGACAGTTTCAAAAACGATTAGTAGGTCAGTTTCAATAATAAGAGTGAAAATTTTAAAAGGACTAAAGAGTAGCTCAGTAGGAAGGCCCTGGATTCCCTCCTTAGTACCCCCAGAAAAACATCGTGTCTCTGGGTTCGTTTCAGTAGAGACTTTCTTTGTTAAAATCAATCATTAGGGAGGCTTTACAGATTGCATTACAGAAATGCCAATTTCCTTTTCAGACTGAGCACAGAATGAAGTATGTGCGCCTACTTTATGAGTGGAGTTCGGGTGACATTCTGCTCCTAACAGAGCTGTAAGGGGGAAAAACAGCTTTTTCTAACTCATGTTTTGAATTTTGCTTAGTAGAACTCACATTGTAATCACAGAATTTAAAGTACGTTATACAAATCATACAACAGAAAATGCCACCAATTTAGTTAGAACATACATATTCTAGAGATCTTTTTTTTTCTGTCGTGGAACCAGGGACTGAACTCAGGCCCTTGTGCTTGCCAGGGAAGTGCTTATTCCACTGAGCCATTTCCCCGGCACAGAGATCTTAAACAACATAATTTTACAAAATGTCTTCTACAAATGTATTTGCGTAGACTGTTGGTGAAAATAATTCCCAAATCTGCTAATACAGTTCAAGGGTCTCCCAAGAAGAGAACCGCATGAGGCCGTCCCAAGCTCTGGGCTGGAAGCCCGTGCATGGCCAGCCGTGAGCTGCTCAGGGCCCTGACGCGCCCTGGCAGCTCCTGCCTTTGGGTGCCCAGTCACGGCGCGTCCCCGAGCGGAGAATGGTCTACTAACGGTTTCTGTTTCCACCACTTAACCCTGTCTCTGGCTTTCCCTGCAGCCCAGGCATCATGGGGAATCCAGGCTGTGACTATGCTGAAGACAGAGAGAGGGAGAGAGGGAGAAGGAACGAGAGAGAGGGAGAGGGAGAAGGGGAGGGGAGTAATGCTGGGATTACAACTGTGTGGTTACTAAATCAGTCCACTGATTGGTTGGGCATGGTGCTGGGTAGGACTAAGGGTGTCCCACCCCTGGCGTGAGCGCTGCCCACCCTAAGGATAACATACAAGGGACAGAAAGAGGGTTCCTGTTCGCTGTTCCCTGCTTGCTGCCCACTTGCAGCTCACTGCCTTCTGCCTGCCACGAGCTGGTTTTCCTCCGTGATGCCTCTCCGCTATTCTGCCCTGCCCTGGAGCCAGACAATCATGCACTGAAACTTACAGACTGGGAGATGAAATACACCTCTCCTCCTCTCACTCTGGGGTCAGGTAGTTGTCTCAGTGATGAGAAAAATAAGAAGGCAAACAAGAAAGGAAGACAGAAAGCAAAGAAGCTCAGTGCTCTGAAATCTCAAGGCACGGGTAGCTCTTCGAAAGTTTCTATGTTGTTTTTAAAGGAACTGTTATTTTATAAGACTCTGAAGGACATGAGTTGGGCCTTAATAAAGAGGCTGCAGTTACACACCAAGTAAAGACCCATTCACGCGAGGTCTTGGACAATCAGCTAAAGTCCTGGTGGGGAACGCAGGAGTAGAACCTGCAATGGGAGCTCTTGGAGAGACAGCCAACTAAGAACCTTGACTGCTGATGTCTCTGAACATTTCTTCACATCAGAAACAGTCACTTCCATCTTCTAAGAAAGCCGGCATTCCCTTACCCCAAAGTATTTCAGTGGCTTTCTGTGGGCATGGCTACCTGCAAGGGAAGGCAGCACCCACCGCCACCAACACTCATCACCTATGGGACCACAGAGCGAAGGGGCGGCCTGGTCCTGGGGTCACTGCAGGTCTGCTCCCAGAAGAGACAATGTTCTAACTGGTGAGTCACAGGAACTTGCCAGGCTGTGGTAACAGGGAGCTAGCGAGTAACGTGGCCAATGAGAACACATGGAAGGTCAGATGAGACCAACGAGGATGCTTCTCCGAGGCCTGTGGATTTGCTGGGCCACTGTAGCACTTGGGAATGGGTGACAGAGGCCATGACTCAGTGGGTCTGTAGCTCATGAGAGGAGACGCTAGAACTACCCCTGCCCACTCCAGAAGGAGCAGAGCAAAGGCGGAGGGAAGTGGGAACAGTGTGGCATAATAAGCCCAGAGTACTCAGAAGGACAGAAAGGCAGCAGACAGCAACGCAACTGAAAGCATCACTAGGACTGAGATTGACACAACTAATGTCTTTAGCAAGAACAACAAAGTTAAAGTTAATATTGGAAATGAGCTATAGATCCTGCAGCTATTAAAAAGGTATAAAGGAATCATATGTACAACCTCATACTCATAAATTTGTCAATACAGAAATAAACCAATTGCTTGGAAACCACAAACTACCAAAATTCAACCTTAAAATAAATGAAATAGTAATTCAACAGTCCTATAACCATTAAAGAAATTAATTAAAAATTTAAAAAAGGAAAAAGTTTCCATTCCCAAATGATTTCACTGAAGAATTTTAATAAACATTTAAAGAAGTATCAAAAGGAATTTTTATACAATATCCTTTAAAAGACTGAAGAGGAACGCTTTTTAACTTAGTTTATGAGACCAGCATTATCCTGATTTCAAAATCAGACAACAACAAAAAACTATAGACCACTGTCTTTCATGTGTATAAGTGAAAGAATATTCAATAAAGTATAAACAAATTATAGAAAAGTATAAAAATAATTATACATCATGATCGAGTGGGGACCTTCCATGGGGCGTAAGGCTGGTTCTGACCTGACAACCTGTAACAGGCTAATGAAGACAAAACACAATCTTCCGAATGGGCTCAGAAAAGACACAAGAAAGTACAACTTTGATTCATCATAAAAACTCTGAGCGAACTGCAGAGATCTTCCTCAATTTGATAAAGAGAACATACTTAAAAACCTTCCAGCAACATTCCAGTGAGTAGTGAATGTTTTCGCACAAAGACTGGGAAAAGGAACGAATGTCCACTCTCACAACCCGAGTCGGCTCAGCGTACGACCAGGAGTTCCAACCCCTGTGAGCGGGCAAAAGAAAGTGGAGGCCCCAGACATGGGGGGAAGAAGAAAATGATCCGCAGGTGCCTTGACATGCTGAGAAACTTATCCACAAAATCACTCTTAGAACTGCTGAACGACTTACAGCACACCAGGTAAAAAGACCTTTCTCCTTTCTCCGTCCCAGTTCTCTCCTTTAAGAAAGAAGGGAATATGTATATCAGCTAAGATAATTGTACCTCTAAATTCTGTCAGTTAATGCTTAACCGTCTGATCAACTTTGCTCACCTATACCTGGTACTCTGAGCAACTATTTTGAGGATATCAATATGCAACAGAACAACTACTGTTAATTTCCTATCATCTTGTTTTGAAATTCTGTATCATTTTAATTGTTTTTATTCTCTTTGAAATAAAAGAGATATAAATACAAAAAAAAATCACATTTACTAAACTAACAGTGAATACATGGAAATTTAAAGAATACATCTCGGACCGGGAAGACAGCTTGGCAGCACAAGCACCTGCCTGGCAAGGCCAAGGTCCCAAGTTCGATCCCCAGTACCACATGCTGTGCCAACCCTGGAACTGAAATACATAAATACAACAAAGCACTTAATGATATGTACGCTGGCAATTACAGGTTGCGGGTAAAGACATGAAAAGGGACCTAAGTTGTGAAATACACTCTACTCATAGATTAAAAACTCAACATATTAAGACGTCAGCTTTCTCCAATTAGTCTGTAGCTAAATGCAATTTAAAAAAAAAATCCAAAAAGTTGTTCTAGAGACAAAAATATACTTATTCTGAACTGGCAAAGTACACCTGAGAATACCTACCACCACCTTTTCAGAGAAGGACACAGCAGAAGCAGCAGTGCGAGAGAAAGCAGGGTGACTGACGGGGCTACAGAATCGAGACGGCTCTGACGCCGCCGGCTGAGCAGCAGCCCATCAGCGACGCGGAACGGAGCCAGAAGGGCTTCGTGACCCCGGCACAGGCCAAGGCTCCTCAGGGCACAAAGCCTTTCCTAAAGCGAATATGGGTAAATCTGACTGATGAAGATGAAAAACTAGCTGTCAAATGATAACAAGTGAAAGGGCCAAAACAACTCTTGAAACCTCCCTCTTCTCCTGGTGTCTGGGGACTGAACCAGGGCCTCACCATGCCGCGCGGCCCCGCCAAGTGCTTTTATTCTGAGGCAGGGTCTCGCTACG